TTCCTTTATCCTAAAGTCCTCTACTAGGCTTTCAAAATCTTTTTCCCTATAGAGTTTTGTTATTGCTTCTAGACAATCTTGTAAATAAGTTACCTTTCTTACCTTTTCCAACTAATCTAAAAATATTCTCATAGTTTCAATATCTACTGAGCATACATCTTCTTCTATTCAGCTACAAAAACTCTCGAATATCTTCTGTGCTTTAGTTAGTCTCAACTTATAGTTCTTGTTTATTAACCTAAATACTAAATTATCTATTCTGCTTAACTATTTTTGGACTAGTTTACCTTTGCAGCTAGCAACTTCTATGTTGGGTTTTTGTATAGTTCTTTCTGTTCTGATAGTCCTAAAATAATAATCTCTACTGCTAGTGATAACTCTACTACTTACTTCAGTGCCTCTAAAAACATTAGTTACCAAAGTGCTAATGTCTATTCCAGAAGAATTAATAACAGCTGAGCTTTGTACTCCCAACTGTGTATTAAGACTTAGTATATTAGCCCAAAAGGTGAGTATACATAATTTATCTTTTCTAACTAATTCTGGGTAAAATAGTTGATAGCTTTTGAATTTGAGCAAAAATAGTAACTATTGAAATATCTTTTCTTCATGTTTAGGTAGTTTACAAAATAGTCTATTGTTACTACTCTCTATTTTACTTCTAGACCTCTAAAAATCTAGTCATCTAACTGCTAATTTTCTATATCTCAAACTCTTATGAGAAAGTCTACTAGATTCTCCAAATCTAGAACCTATCTAATTTCATGCACCCACACATCATTCTCTGCACAAAACTTCTAAAGAAACTTTACTATATTCTTTTGCTATAAGCATGGACCTCTCTGTATAATTGTTCTCAAAGCTACTTTGTTGTCTATATAAATAGTTATCCACGAATATCTTAATTATATTATAAAGAACTCTAGAGCTCTTAGTATAGCCAGACTTTCTAACTATGTTATTTCTGTTGATTTGAATAGTTTTGGCCAATTTTCTACTACCTTGTAGTCTAGGTAAATCCTATACCAACCTATTGTTGAAATATCCACAAAGACTGCTTTTATCTGAGCTAGTTTCTATATTAGTTTTCTGTTTTATCTCACTAAATTTTCTTTTAACTATTTTATATCTTCTATCACTTGTATAGTCAGGTGTACCTCTTTGTTCTATTCTTAACAGTTCCAATTTGCTATATCTATTATTGAATACAGTTCCAGACACTTTACTTGTGCTAGTAAAAAGGCCTATGATAAACTTTGAATCTTTCTAGCTATTGCTGCTAACTTTCTTGCTGAAACTAACTGAAGTCTCTCCAGACCTACTAATTCTTTCTAGACTTTCAAGAGCTTGTCTTCTGGAATCTCTACTAAACCTTTCTCTGTATCTACTAAAAGTCTATAAATCTTTACTCTTTTTGATGATTTCCAATTCCTTTTGTCTAATATCCTTACCAACTCACATCTTTCTAGATTGATCTCTATAACATGATCTCTTATCTGTAACAGTTTTTTTCTTAATGTATATACAATTCAGAAATCGTCTATATAGTTTTGCAGAAGATGCCCTATGACCTCTATGCTTCAATTAAGGCTCTCATTAGCTTTAAGAATATCCTAGGAGCCTGGTATAAGCCAAACAGAAGAACAGTATAATGAAACTACTCTTCTGCTATTTGAAAACCTAAAAATGTTAAGCCTATTCATCTATTAAGATGTAATGATATTCTTCCTGCAAATTGAATACAATTACTTATTAGCCTTTCTCAATCATCTTTAAGAAGCTACTGAGTCCTTCAAATCAGAAAGTTTTTTTAGACAATACTTAATTCAATCTTCTTAAATTTATTACTAACTGGTATTTTTTCAGCCTTACCTTTAGTACAAGAAAGACCAGACTTATCTCCAATAAGACATCTAGTCTTTTCTCCTCTATATGAACTAGTTTTACTATATCTAACTCTCTTAATCTCTTTAGCTCTAACTGAACTCACTCCAACTTATTCCTGTTTAAATTGAATTGTCTTAGTACTTTTATTTGAGCTAATGACTTTACTCCTTTGACAAATAGTAGGACTCTGTTTTTCAACTACATTATACAGATCTTATCTTCTTCTTCTAATACTTTACTGATGACTCTAGATGCACTCTCCCTACTACTCTTTTCTTCCTCTGTCTTATTTCCTTTCGCAGTATATTTTCTATACTCTAAATATAGTTAACTCCCTTCATTTCCTTCAACTCTAGAACTAGATCTATAAAAGGGCTAGTTCATTTTCTTTTAAGAGTAGTCCTAGGTGATATGGCCTCTTTTTTCACAAATGAAACATACTATACTTGTATTTCTGTTTTGCTTTGGGGACCTGCTCAGATTATATGACCTCTAACCTTGCTATGGAGCCCATAGCCTGTCTTAGGAGTCTCTCTGATTATTATATAGTTGCAGGTTCTGTATTTGGTACAAAGTCTAAAAAGCTATATTATTAAAAAATGATCTTGCTTCTAAATTAAAATCAAGTTATATCAGTGATTAGAGTATTGATCTCATGACAAATAACTGCTCTGTGATTTTGTTCATAGCATTTCATTTGTTACTTAATGACAAAACTAATAAACAATACTATAAAAGATACAAATAAGATCATTAAGAGGATCAAATTACATTTTCTTTCTTCTTTTTCTCTCTTTTTTTTTTTGTTCCTCTACATATGTTATCTAGCTAGCAAATTTGATAAATT